ATGTGAGGAATCTACAAGTCACCGTAGAGAGCGAAATCGGAAATATACAATAATCCAATGAGACTATTAACTGTCACAACAAACCAATTTACCTTCGATGAGCGCTTTCTAAATTTCCTGCTTCTGTTACCGCTTCTACAACAGGAAGGAAAACAGGAACACTTGACCTGGGCAAAGTTATTTGGAAATAATGCCTTTTTATGTATTTGATGCAAATAATGCATTTGTTTAACCGATTAAACTCACAAAACGACTCAACATTTGGTAGTCATTGTCAAAAAGGTCTCGTGTTTTCGTCAACCACAGAAAATACCTTAATTTCAGCGAGAAAACGTCGGTCTAACTGGCTAGCATGCAATCAGATCGACAACCTAGGTCATTCGAAAATCCTGCTCATAGCTACGGGAAATGTCACCGGCACCGACATAAGACCCAACGGTAACAGTTGGTAAATGTTTCCGGCAAAAGATCAAAAAGCAAAAAAAAAAAATAATAATAATAACGATAAAAATAATACAAATGATAAGTCTGAAAGCCAAAAGGAATGCTGTATAATTTTCTTGTCCAATATTGTACGAAATGAAATTAAACTGCTGTAGAAAACTGATAAAAATGGTTTGGCAACAAGGCATAAACTTTAATCTCACATAAAGCTTTGTAACCAATGTTCAATAAAGAGGTTTTTTCATCAAAGTATTTTGAACTATTTATCCAGCAGAAGCCACGGCAATATTTTCAGGCTTACAGCTTTCACTTAAGTCAGCAGTTAACTAAAAACGCAAACTGTTTACATAAATGTTTGCTGTCCTATAGTTTGAAACAAATCAAAGTTTCTTCGACCAGTTCATTAGCGAAGCGGGAATTAGCATTATATTATATAAGAGTACAACAAACTACTTATAGCACACAGTTAAAGATGGCATCAAAAATCGATTCGGACTTTCATAATATCATCCATTAAGGGTGTCAAATTTACACTTTTGAATTGTTCCCTCCATAGCGCTCTTTTTTATCTGTCTAAACCATTACTACGTTCCAAATAATGTTTATAACGTTTATACTATTACTCCATTTGAGAATGGTAGCACCTCTACGTGGTGTGTACGTAAGGAAAAATGCTGTAGCGGGAAATAGAAAGTCGTCTTTTAAACCTTATCAGTATAAAACGAAAAGAAATTGCCGAACTGAAGTACGTACAATTCATGTGGGTGAATATGAAAAATATACTGGCTCTACAAGAAGTTTAATTTTTTAAAAATTCAAATTCCATTTACTTTAGTGGAAACTGTAAAAATTGGGACTTGTAAAAAAATAAGCTTGGTATTGAAAATTCAGCAGACGAGAAAAAAAAATCAAATTGTCAAGGTTCAGTAGACTGTTTGCTAAGCAATCAACAAGAAAGTGGTGCTCAAAATTTTGGCGATGCTAACATACGGATGTTGAGAAGTGACCGGATACATAAAACAGGAAACAGAAAGATCTGGTATCAACAACAGTACTAGTACAATCGCCACCACTAGCAACATTGGCAGTACTCAGGAATGAACAAAAAAAATGCTGGTGTTGTCCCCAAAAAAGGGAATATCTCTAATGCCAAAACAGTACTGCTAACGGCTTTCCTCAGTGAACAGTGTGGAGGCAACTAAACAAAAAAAAATCGTCATATTTCGGTATTTCTACATTGTATTTCGTCAGCATTTTTCTTCTGCATCTCCTCGAATCGCTTGACCCTCGACTATGTCAAATGATCTGGTCTTGTATCCGTACATGATCACTACCTGCTAGCATCACTGAGAGAGGCAGTAGCAGACAGCTGAAGCAATGGATGGACAGGGAAAAAAGATGGAAGCAAAACAAAGAGATGGGATAGTGGTGGGAGTGGAAGAGAAAAAAAGTGAAATGATTGGAGGGGAAAAGCCGTATAGCGACGAGAGAGGAAAAGATGAAGGCGCTGAAGGCCCCCGTAAGCATAGCACACAAACATAAGATACACACACAGTGGCACAATAATGAGCAGTATTGTGCGGCAGAGCAAGTTTCGTCACGTATATTGTAAACCGGTGAAACATGAACAATGTATTTCGGATGTACGGATTACAGAAATTACATGGGATTCGCTTTTCTGCGCTGTTAATCCGAAATTTATTGCCATCATAACTAAAGGTTCTGGTGGACCGTTTCAAGTGATTCCGGTGACAAAGGTATCGTTTAAAAGATGTTATGAATTTATTAGTTTACGTTCTTTTGCATTTAAAATTTCCCTCATCACTTTTTCTGCCATTTTTTATTCCTTACTATTTGTTTTTTATTTTATTTTATTATTATTATTTTTTTTTTTGGCCGTTCTCTACTTTTCATCACTTTGCTAAGGCATATTGCAATCTAAAGAATGTGTATAATTGATCGTCTAAGCAACTTTTGCTGTTCAAAAAACTATAGTATAAAGCATTTTTTGGATGTTTTGAATTTTCATTGCTTTCAATGTTGCATTTTCTTTTTCTTTATGCTTTCGCGAGTTTCCTGAATGCCGTTTTGGTACAATGCATGCAGCATCTTATAAAAAATCTGCTGAATACATTTTTAAAATTGTTAATTTTTTGGGGGTAAAAAATTTTGAGATATGAGGTTTAAGATTTCTTAGTTTCTGTGAACTACTGTATGCATTTGTATAAAGATTATTGTTGTGCCCTATTGGTTATACCTTATGGCCTATACATGAACTTTGTTCCTCGATTTTAGTCATTACTCATTGCGTTCAGGTTTGTCTTCATCTCAATAAATTTGTCTCTTCAGAATTCAATTTTTAACTGTCTAAAAAAAACTTGAAGAAAGAAAAAAAAATTGGGCGCAAAAGTGTTAGTTGATAGTTTTTTTCCCACCAATCAAAAATCCTCTCAAAAATTAAATTATTCTCTTTGGACTACTTTTTACTCTTTGCTATTTTGCTATTTCGCTAATAATATGTCATCTTTTCGACCCTATAGAATTATTAATATTGCAACTTGCCAAGTGCTGAGTGACAAAAAAAAAGAGTTTTTCTTGGTGATTTTTTTTCACTTAGTGTTTATGAAATTTTTCTTTTGAAGTTAATTTTGATTAGTACACCATATTTTGTTGAATAATTTTTACTTCTTTTTGGGTGCACAGTTACTACTGAAAGGACGCAAGTGATTGTTTTTCATTAGTACTGTGAACTGACAAAGTACTGTTATCAGGTTTCAGAGCGGAAAAAACTTTTAACAGGATTTGCAGCGGTGCAGTGGTTTAGCGGCATGAATTTAAGAGTTTTTTTGGTTAGAACTAAAGCGACCATCTTCCTTCATGTTTTTCTACTTCCAATTCACTTTCCTGGATTTCTTTAAAAAAATTTTTTTTTTTTTTTTTTTTGCTGCTAAGATAAGACATTGACTAAGCCGATCAGCTGTGGGCGATACTTACTAAGAAGCAGTTTAATAAGATACTGCTGCCGCCGTTGTTGTTGTTGTTGTTGTTGTTTTTATTGTTTTTGTCGCTGTTGCAGTTGCTATTGCTGTTGCTGCTGCTACTGTTGCTGATGCTAATGATGATGATGATGATGATGCTAGAAAAATAGAGAGAGAAAATAGTGGTGATGATTCTGATATTGTTTTGGTTTTGCAGTTTTTATCAGATATCGATGGCTGTTCAGCTGCCAGGAGGTGTTGAGGGTCGGAGTTGTTTGTTGTAAATCTGTTAGTAATGTTTGTTCTGTAGACAACAAACTGCAGTTCTTCAAT